TTTCAGGTAACTGAAAGGTCGTTTCCTTTGTCGCGTTTGTGTGCGAGATGGGAGCCATTCCAGCTCGTAGAAACAGGCACACGTATATCTACCGACTAATAGTGGTATACGTACAATTGCGGAGGATACACAATCATCCGAGCCAGCTTGGAGAGTACACAATATCCCGAAGGGGTGGCGTACCTGCACACGGTATTCGTCTTGCAAACTTTGAACTTGGAGACGTCGAGGGCTTCCTTCCGCGACTTTGGCAGCTTCGACATGTCTGGAGAGTAGGAGAGATTTCAACTTGAGTTAATTGTGGCCCTTTCCGGATCGGACCGCATCTCCATAGGATTAATTTTATACAGAGCGTCTTGGTGAATCGCCATCATTACCGGTAACATGTAAATCCCTTTTGAAGATGGAAGGCAGGTAAGAGGCTTAAAATAAAGTTTCTCTCTGTTTGATGCGCAGAATTAAGAAAAAAAAAAAATGACACGAGATTTACATTGCTACTCGTAAGTATCCGGAAACTTTAGCCGATTGGTATATAATAAATTTTAATAGAAGGAACAAATTTGGAACAAAAGAATGGGTTGAAGTATTAATTTTTTGAAATTCGAATTGTTTATTTATAAATTTAGAGATAATTTATATATTTTTATAATTATATGTGCTATTTGTTCATGGATTAATTTATCTGATTTGAAAACAAAACAATTTGAGATTAAGAAAAGATATTTGAAATTTGAGAGTTAGGAATCATCCTATATAAGTGCTTGGATACTTTTGAGTATTAATGTATAATTAATGAGTGTTAACACATATAATCATTATTATTATTTGCAATGATTGCAAGTTAAGTTGACACATTTTGTATATCATTATTCTTTATTATTATTGGTTTTAATAAAAATAACTTCTTTTATATTAATATAAATATATTAATATAATATTAATATAATATTATATTAATATAATATATAATATATAATTTTTCATTTGTTATAATTTAAATTAATTAAATTATAATTTTATAAAGCAAAATGTGTTAACTATTCGTCAGTGGAAAAAATATCATTAAAGTTATGAACAATGGCATTTAATTAATATCTTTGAATATATCTTTGAATCTTCTTCTTCTTCTTCTTCTTCTTTTTTTTTTTTTTTTTACATATAATCATGTTAAAGCAATCTCGTATTCAAAAAGGGGAGAAAAAATAAAATAACTTATGATATAAAAGGAACAAATATCTTTGGTATTTCAAGACATTGAATGTCAAACGCGCTAATTCCTTTTTTTCTTCAGTATAAATGATATTTTCAACTTAATTTTACAAATAACGTTTCGTTCTTTGTAACATGGCAGTTATTCGTTACAACATTGTAGCATTACTTCTTCGTAAGCTGAACGTACATCAGAGTATTTTCTGGTAACTATTCTACAATTTATCCATGTTTCCGTAAACTCACAATGCATTCAACGTTACCTCTCTCGAAAAAGCCGCATGTACACTTACAAAAATTCATCCCTCATTTTTTCCCCCAAGTTTTTTTCCCCGCGGAAAAATATCTACCAGTATGTTACGCTGCCTTCTACCGGAAACTCTATACATACAAAGCCGTGTGCCGCTTGTAACCTTCGGTATACGGCGGAAAGAAAGATACAATTGTACGAACGAGAAACAGAATTTACGAAATAGTGCACGGTGTAAGCACAACGCCGCGTTGTTGGTTAATGTAAAAAAGGAAAAGAACATTTATCCGATATATTTCACTAGGAATTCATTCCATTCGCGATTAACTTCTTTTCCGTAATAAAATATGAGAAACGAGCAAATGTTTTTCGTTGTTAGAAGCTGTTAAAGAATAGAATATAAATCTTACGTGTAATATAGTTGCACGCATCCCTTTGAAAAGTAATTACAAGATACATTCGTGATATTTGAAAGCTCATAACGAAAACTCTAGATTAATCATGAAATATATTCCTGACTTTATTGACTTTAAATAGTTCTTTTTCTATGTAATATACATAGAAATTTCTCGATTATTGTCAAAAATCAATGGGTAAATATATCAAATATTTATTATCGTGTATTCTCCTTTTTAACTCTTTTAAAACTAATAAAACAATATATATATTAATTTTTATTAAAGATTACCAAATTATATTAATACGTAACAATGAGATATGAAAAATAATGCAGTATTAAAGAATGTTCCAACAATAATAAATATGGATACAAAAACCTAAGAATTGACAAGTATCGTTTTCGTTATGAACCCAAATGATTTACGCGCAAAAAAGGAAAGAAAAAAGGAAAGAAAATCGTAAAGAAGCGTATTCTCCTCGGAGAATTTTGACGCGTATTCCCCTGCCATCAATTTTCGCGATACCTCTTCGTCGACCGATATTTTCCCGATCCTTATATACACTTCTGAATTTACATGCTTAACGTCAATTCATCTTGCTTGACACCACATACGTGTAGCTTTACCTGTTGTCGATACGTTCGCTTTCGTAGAAAAACTCTCTCTTTCTTCTCTCTTTCTCTCTCTCTCTCTCTCTCTCTCTCTCTCTCTCTCTCTCTCTCTCTCTCTCTCTTTCATACTACTATCCTTGTACCTCTTTACGCCTCGTGTAAATGCTCGTGAAGTTTGCCAAGGATTCGGTCCGGTTTGCATGTATCCAATGGATAAAAAGGAATAATGTTGCCACATCCACGGAATAAGACGAGCGATTTCTCTATTCATAAAAGCGCGATATGTGGACGCTTTATAAGACACAGGGAACCCTTTGGTGGATTTACATTCTCTTTAAAAAAAAAAAAAAGAAAAAAGGAAGACAGGTGGAGAGGACCACTGGCCTTTAATTTCATCCTTCCGTTATCGATTCCTTTCCTCTTTGACCAGGGCATATTTACGGTAAACTTTTTGTATTACACGAAACATTTTGCGCGAAAGAGAAGCTTGATTGTTGACACAAGTTATACGATGGTAAACAGGGAAATATTCGAGTGAAATTCGCGTCGGATGAAATGTAAGAAAATATCACGCGTTTTTCGGAGAATATTTTTCCAACCATATGCTTCGATCCATTTCGTGCAACGATTCGCAACGTAATTTTTTATTATTGCCCTCTCCTTTCTTTGATCTTTCCTCTTTGCTCTTTGCTTGCTGTTCGAGCCTAACAAAGTCTATATATATATATATATAGGGGTAGTATTATACAGGGTTTCGTTTCACATTCGTTTTCCTGTTTAAATTGAAAAAATAATTAAAGCAGCATAAATTAGTGAAATTATATAATGTAACAATCGTGCAATTCGTTTAACACTTTTGATTAGTAGGTAATATATGGATTGATTAAAAATTGTTTCAAGATATTTACAAATAGTTTTATTTCGAAAAAAATAAGTAGAAAATGTTTCTCCTTAAATATTCCCTTAAATTATATAAATTGTATTACTTGTTCATACTCTCTCCTAAGGAAAAAAAAAATATGTTCCTTCCTAGGTCGAAAATTTATTACAATATTTAAACATTGCATTCAATCATTCCATATATCAAATTTACACTATCTCGCAAACAATATATCATATAAAATAAATCAATTCAAAAATTAACTCTCCTTATTATTATTCCATCGAGCTCGATTACTACGCGTTTCCCGAACGATCTCTCCTTCTCTTTCTCTCTTTCTCTCTCACTTCACGATAACAAACTGTGTATCTAAATATGACTCGCGTCTCTTTCAAGAATTCTCGTTCCGCCAATATCTCGTAGTTACGACATGAAATACGGATAGGCATCTTCTCCATAGGACACACAAGAGAAGAGGGAAAGGAGAAATTGGGAGTCTAGCGAGCGCCACTTGATTAACCCCTTCAAAATCATAGGATCGATCCTCGGTCCTTCATCTGGCTCACGAACAATGGTTGAATAGACACGATGGAATGACGTAGAGCGTGGTGTGACACGCATCTTTAGCCAGAATAATGCCAGGATATTCGATCGTGTCCTCTTATCAAAGACGAAAATAGGGGTGCATGTATGTAGTAATGGGATATCCTTTTTGTTTGTTCAAAATTTTATGAATTTTCTCGAGTCAAGTTTCTCTTATTTCTGGCCAATTATTTGTTTTTTTTTTTTTTTCATCAATTTATAAACACGATGTATATAGATTTGATTTTAGAACAAAGGGAGAAATGAATCGTGCAAGATCACGAGTTTTCTATCGAGGATCGAGAAATTTCGAAGCGAAATCGCATTGTACTTCGGATATTTTCCATGTCGCTTGGGACAAATACGACACAGAAGCGTGTAAGTGGCAATATGGATTCGGATCCACTCGGCAATAGTCGGACGCGATCGGCTAAACAACTGGGGCTCTAACAACTGGGCCTCAAGGGACTGTAGAGTCTGATTCGAAGTTCGACTGCCACTCAACTGTCCAAAATCCCGTTCGATTTCGCTCGAATTTTCTCGATTCGACCCGATCTCGCAACCCCAAAGTGCATGTTGCACTTCAAAGTCAATATCGTCCTCTAAAAGATGAATTCGTCACGTGCGTGCAACACGAGATTGGTTTGAGCATTTTTTCATCGATTAAATGTACTTTCTTTCGAAAAATCTACTCATTTCGAATCGAGAAAGTCATTTTTTCTTGAGTCGTGTGTATACCATGGCAGTAATCGTTTGATATCGTTCGATAAATCGAGATAAGCGTATCGATAATCATCCGTCATAGTGGCCTGCATCGTCTCGATCTCGATAAACGGGTCATTAATCGGGGTACTTAAGGATGTAACAATAAAAGCGATGATGGCTATCGCGTGATCGTTCCTCTTCGAACAAATCGAACCGAGTACGCTAAAAAACACGTAATATCAATGCCGATTCAACAATATTATTATTTGCTTTCCCACCGTCGGTTCGGCCAACCCTTAAACTACCCTCTCTCCCTTTCCTCCTGCCCCTCCTTTTGACTAGTGCGCTGTTTGTCGTGCGACGCCCATGGATTCCCTTCCCGTGGCCTCAGGCGTATCGTGACTATCTCAGAAACAGCTGGAGCATACACAGCATCAGCATCGTCATATAGATGGCGGTAGGTGCTTCACTTCCGTTCTCGGAGGTCACTGGAACACACACGCGCGCGCACGCGTTACGCGCAATGTTATTACGTTGTCTTGTATGGAGGTTTGCGGTTAATGTGTACACTTGTCACCTAAACTGGCCATTACGGGCCATGATGAGTTGATTAAACGATAGTTGGCGTCCTTTGCTGAATTTTGGACATGTTGCAGATTATGCTTTGTCGTATAACGTTAAGTTTCCATTGTACGGTGTGCAGTTTGTCAGCAGGTAATTAGAAATCATTTTCGGCCCGTGTTCTATTAGCCAGTTTAAGCGAATTACGTTTAATAAATCTTACTAATACCGACAATTTTTACATATTTTATATATAAATGTACGGATGAATATAGTCTTTTTTTTATGCTTAATTATATGAAAGACGTTTTCAAAGAGAACAAACAGTCGAAAATTTTGTTTGCAAGGTGATTTTTTTTGAATTTTTTTAATTCAATTTGAAAAATGAACTAGGAAATAAATTGTAATAACAAATAAATTCGTTATACTTCATAGAAAATTGAAATTGACGAATATAGATGCTTGGGTGGTAGATATGATAGTATGGATTGGAAAGGTTTGAAATTTAATGAATAGATATTGTGCTCGTTGATAGAAAGAGTAATTGGTAGATTTTCATGTCGATAGAACTATCACGTGTTATTGACTTGACGATGCGTACGAAAGCCAAATATCTGGTATTCTGCCGATATCAACAGATGCTGAAGATCAATGGAGATACAAGCTTAAATTGCATCGGTGTGCACAGGACGATGATATTTCAAAGTTACCATGTCTAATTCCTTTCATCAAATTCCCAAATAGCTCAGACTCTGGTCATCGAAGTGTTATTGTTGTATTTTCAAATATACAACGTGCCTATTATTTTCATATGTAATTAAAATACAGATATTTTTGATAAAATTAAATTATCAATTTTCATTAAGAGAGAATATATTTAATATTTTTTGTATATTAGATATTATAAGCTGCTTGTTCTATAATATTTTTTCTTGTGATAATTTCAAAGAAACTCGTATTTCTTAACTGATGAAAACCATTTCACAATGATTAATTCCTAAAATTGATTCTCTTCAAAATAATATCGAATTAAAATGCTTAATAAATCCATAAACGTTATCAAATCACATATCAAAATTAATTCATTCAAAAAAAAACCATATACATTCGAGGGAATTTTAGCATAATCCAGAAAGTGATCGAACCTTATTTGATCAGCCCATTAACCCACACCCTTCCTTCCTTCCTCCATTTATCAATTTTTCTCTGTTCATCCATCCGTCGTCCGCTTCATCATATACTAATGGTTACAGAAGATTATCCAAAAAGCATTTTCTACGAATTTCTGTCTCTTCCTCTCTCTCTCTCCCTCCCTCCTTCTGAATCTGTAATACGATTAAACCAACCTCGGAATATTGAAACGTAATAAAAGCCGGTACCGGAGCGGAAAGCGTCGCCTGCCCTTGCTGGGTAGACAGCATTAAACGGGTAAGGCCGATTGATTTTCCCTTCTTGGTTCCGCTTTGTTCCTTGGGCCGAGGGAAAAGTCAATTTCGCAAAAACAATTCTGCGGACCACGGGCCAGAAATACGTACTACGAGTCAACGAACACGGGTGCCAGTCTGCGAAAAGGGACCGGTGTGAACGAAATGAAATTACCGCGACTGCACGATCGAACGAAATTTTCTGTAACGTCGATGCGGGGGAGTTTGATGGCTAAGGGGAACGGGATCGACCGCTTTCGAATTAGAACCCGTTTTCTTTCTTGACGTATCAATCCTTCGATAATGGACACCCGATTTTTATCCGAATCGATTCGATCGAAATGTAAATATATATATATATATATCGCGTGTACCCAACGCTGACAAGCCTGATTACTTTCGTTTTATATTTCAATATCGAGTGTGTAAAGTTTAGAAACTTTGAGAGAAAGTTTGAAAGAATTAATATTTTCTGATTTCTCGTCCCGATTTTACGCGGTGAAGTAGTTTGGGATATATTAAAAATCTTTTTTCCTTTTTATCGGGACAAAAGCGAGATTGAGATATAAAAATTTGGAGTAGGTTAATAAAATTATAAAATTCCAAGTTTCTCGATTGATTAATATTAGGATATTAAAGTTGTTAAAATGATGGTGAATTATTGTTTTTTGCTTGTTCTAAAGAAGTGCAGATTTTGAAATATTAATTCTGAATTTCGAAGTATGTTTTGTACGTGTTTTGAGACTAATATAAATATAGAAATAAATTCCATGTTATGTAGAGATGCAAATGTTTTATTTGATTAAAATTTTGGATATAGCTGCAACAAGTTTTATAAAGTTTATTTCATAAAGAGAACACAAGTGTTGAAATTCTATAAGAAACACACATACTTTGGGATATGAGAAATTGTAGATAAAATTGCTGAATATCTAATTTTATTTTTTAACGTTGTAATATTAATCTTTTTTCTTTTATGGAGTTTATTTTTAATGTAGATAAAGTATAGAAAATAGTAGAAAAATTAAAAGTAATTAATTTCAAAAGAAAATTTCAAAAGTCTACATGCATAATATCTTCTCTAAAAAATTTTATGTGTATCAGCAACTCTTAATTAATGAATGAATTCATATATTGTACACGTATATTGATTAAATAATTAATTTCTGCCGTTAAAACCATGCACGTTGCTGCTATAACGATTTATTGATATATTAAGTACGTGAAATTTGTTTAACAATAATTATTCATGTCATTGTTATATTTGTTTTCAAATATAAAATAAAAATGAATATTTATGCCGCGAGTTTTGGGAATAATGATAAATTTTGTCAAGTAAAACACGAAAATTTTTAAAGATTTCAGAAATTAGAAGATTACAAAAGTCATAATTCGTACGATGGGATTACCTTTCTTACTTTGTACTTAATGGAACGTGATATTTAAATTTCAATTTCTTCTTTTAAAAGGTTCTTGAAGGGCTGCTAAGGGCTGTAAAACGTCAGAGGATTAACAAGTATTTTTGAGATAACTTTCTAAATTTCTCACGCGCTTTTTAAGACAAACTAACCACACAAGTTTGCTATGTGAGAACGTTGCACATTTAATTTGCGAAAATCCGCTTATAATCCTTAATTCTGGTTTTACGTTTGGCGTTTTTTGTGAATTTATAATGGCACAAGAAAGATTCTAAATAATGGTAGATTTAATTAAAATTTGAAAGTTATTCATTCATTTATTTCAAGAGAAGAACTCGATAAATTGTATTTTTTTTAATTTGATGAGAAGAATAATTTTAAAGTTAGAATTGTGAAATTATTATGTCGAGTTCTTTATCTTCGAATTAACTTTTTTTGAGTTATTAAAACTACTTTTTGAGTTATTAAATCTCTTTTAATTGAAGTAAAAAATAAGAAATCGGAAAATAAGAATCAAGAGCGAACATTTATTTTGTTTTTCGATTATTATAAATTATCATAAATAAAAATTTTGTTGGCAAAACTCTTAGAAATAACTTTCCTGCAATTTTCCAGTGGAAATTGTGTTTTTTTCAGTTGCATCGTTAACAAACGGTCAAAAGTACAAACGGTAAAAATAGTGCGTTCGGGTATAAAAAAAAATATTGCATTCTTTTTAAAGCAACAGAGCATTGTAACTTGTTTTTTTTAAAAAAAAGTCTCTTTATGAATAATTTTAAATTTTTATTTTGCGAAAAATATTTAAAAATAAATTAGTCGATTAGAATAATTCTGAAAAGTCTCAAAGTTTTGAAAAAAATATAATTCCATTGAAAAATTTAATATTTTCACTTTAATAATATATTGTAGATAAATAACTTCGCGCCCTTTAGCCTTCGTTAATCAGTCTTTTCGAAATTCTATCTAGTTTCGATAATTCGAGCGACAGAGATAGAATTTCGATAGTGTCAGGAAGAATTTTTAAGGATGGCCGTGAATGAAATTGTCGGGGTAACATATAAAAATGCAATATATATGCTGGAAGCAGTTTGCAAGATTGCTGTATGGGTTTTTGGTAAGGGCTTTTCAGCGGAATTCAAGTGACCGTGCGTTTTGAGAAGTGCATGAGGCTTAAGCTGCAGGGAAATCCGGGAGAGTTCTTGATATAAAAACTCTCCAGACAACTTCATGAGCCGGCATTCTAAAGTTCGTGACACGAGTCCTCGAAAGTTTTACAGAAACGATTTACTTAGAGAATATGGGATAAAGAACTAAAGGGTTGTTGCCATCGTGTACGTTTTTTACGTCACGTTTGCGTATGTGTATCGCGTGCACGCATGCGTTCGTGCCCTCCAGGGGTGAAAATTTTACGAGATGCGATGGTTAAGGGAAAAAGAAAAAAAAAAGGAAAAAGAAAAGAGGGTGACCTCAGTCGGTTGCAGTGAAGACATAACTTTGCAAATTACATAGGATTAAGGTTGGAATGAGATTCTCGGAATGAACCAGACTTGCAATTTTACACGCTGCTACGAGACATCGGTGCACCAAATGCCCGTTGTCTTATTTCGTATTCACTTTACGTTTTTCCTTTTGGATAAGTTTTCCGTTATTTCGCTCGAATAGAGAATATCGACGGTGATTTGGTTTTAATAAAATCTTGAAACTCGATTCTTTTTCCTTTTTGCTCGGTTTAAAGTTAATTCCAATTCCTAATTTAAATTTCATATGAATAAAATTTTAGTAAATTTAACTAATTAATCAAACTCTATCTTATTATATTTGCAAAGTAAATTTTCCTAATTTCTAAATTTATTCGATTATCATACATTTCAAAGAATGGATTACACTTTTCGTAGAAATCTTATGATTTAAACAAGAAATTCTAATTCTAATTCAACAAAAAAACTATATCTAAACGGAAGAATTAGATGATCTGTTATTACAATCTGTTTACATAAATCCACTCATCCCTCGATAAATATGAATCTATAAACAGAGTTTTACCGTATCCCAATAAGATTTATTTCACATTACAACCTCAAAATC